CCCAACCCCTCCACCCTCACACATAAAATGACCAATTAGGACCAATTAAATCTATTGCCGGCCTGGTGGGCACCGACCGTTGGTTTTAGACAGTTTAGAAGAAAGGATCATTTCGACGCTCCGGACAACAACCGCCGGCGGCGGCCGCCGCCGTCACAACAATACTCTGTCGGAGGACAATACACACACAATTATTAGATCACGAAAACCCGGACCCAAATATCCCTGCCTGCGACTCTTCCCTTCAAAGCTCGTACTCGCGGCGGGAAAGGGCCACGTTTAAGTTCGTTTCGGGGAGCAGGATATGACCTGTGTGGACATACGCCCGCTGGAGATGTTCGGCCCCCGGGACTCTGCTGCGTCGAGCTTGACGCACACTACCGGGAACGAGAAAGTGCGCCTTCCGCAGTACATGTCTCCGGACATGTCCCCGCGGCGTGCGTGCGCGGGGGCAGTCACGTCTGTCTGGTCTGGTGCGGCCCAGCGGGCGGGGTCGGTTGGGGGTAGAGTCCTGCAGGGCTCTCGGTTGGGGAGGCCCACCCACGGACCCGCGCGGCGGCTCGCCTGTACGCAGGCCAATCGGTGTGGCGGGCTTCGGACCGAGACAAAAGGTCACCCCCTCTGGACAGTGCACGGCAACCTGCACGTCACTGGCGTCACGCGTACGTCAAGGGGTGTGACATGTCGTCGCAGCGGTGCGATGCGTTACCCCCTCCCCGTGACGTACGGTGCGCGCGGGCGTGCCGGGTCTGGGTGCCGGGCCGGGCCGGCGGGGAGCGGAGCAGTCAGTGTCCCTCCGACCGGCGCGCAGCCCGCACCGGCACGCCCACAGCACGGCCAGACTCAGTACCGCGCTCCGCTCCGCCGCGGCCGCGTGCGCTCTCGCCCGCTCACCGTGTGACAATCGGGGGGTCGGTGCGTGTGACGAAGAGTGAGCCCCGATTGTGACGGGCCGCACCTCCTCGCCGACGGGCGGGGAGTGACACGAAGTGACCATGCGCCGCCTTCCCGGCGCGGCCCGGCGCGCCGCCGGCCGGTGTGTACGGGACGGTGACGAGTGACACCCGGGTCCATCGACAGCCCGGCGCAGCGACAGCTCCAGGACGTCGACGCGCCGCCCGCGCACCGCGAGGAGAGAAGAGGCGTAGCGGGGCGTGACGAAGCGTGGCGAAGCGTGGCAGCACACAGTGCACAGGCACCAGTGACCCCGATTACGAAAATAGCCGGGCCGGCGCGGGAAGTGAAGTAAAGTACCCGTCCCGCCGACCCGCGGCGCGCACGGGCCCGCGCAGGGCGTACCGCAGGGCGCACCACAGGGCGCCACAGGACCACTCGCACGGGACGCTGGAGGTGCGGTGACACCGCCGAGCCGGCCAGGATGGCGGTCCAGCTCCAGCGCTACCCTGACCCCTACTACTACCCCAGCGTGCTGCCGGGCGAGCGACCGCCCCCGGCCCCGGGGCTGATCGCCGAACACGCCCACTACTACACGCACCCCTACCACCCCTACAACCCGGCCAACTCCTCGTACTGGTTCGGCAACGACACGACGGGCGGCTGGGGCCCGCGCTTCTTCTACACGTTCTACACGGAGGGCGGCGACCGCCGGCCCTGGGACATCCTCGAGGCGAGCGTGTTCGCCGTCGTCTTCCTTGTGTCGGTCCTGGCCAACGTGTCGATCGCGGCCGCCGTGCTGCGCTACCGCGAGATGAGGACCGTCACCAACTGCTTCCTGCTCAACCTGGCCGCCGCCGACCTCGTGTTCGCCCTGGGCAGCCCGCTCGTGGCCGCGGCGCGCGTCACCGACGAGTGGCCGCTGGGCAGCACGGCGTGCAGGCTGCTGCCCTACTCGCAGGTGAGCAGACTCGCGCGGAGCCGCGCGTCCTTGAGGTGGGATGGGAGGCGCACTGCACAAGCGCACAGTAGGCGCGCGAGAGGCTCGGGCACGACACTGTTTCCCCCTAGAGGGAATATTAATGCTCCAAGTAACGACCCGGCCAGGCGAGGCGAGGCGGGCGCAGCTTGTTCCCTTGGCCGTCCGCTCCGCTGCGGCGCGGCTCAACCGCTGCCCTCGCTGCTGGAGGCGCACTAGTAGTTGGCCATCGAGCTCACGCGTGCGCGACACTGTCACCTGTCACGCAGCCAGCCCACAGGACACTGTCACCTGTCACGCAATGTGTATGATTTTTGTGTGTTCCGCGAAGCGTAGCGAGAATCTGAATAAGAGAGCAACTATATTGACTTTACCGCGGTTTTGTTGCACTGTCCCTCACAACCTCTTCTATCACCGAGAGCCCCCCGTTGTTTACTTGTGTTGTTATATTGCATCTCGTCTAGGTATCCTCCATGAAGTAGCCCGTCATTAGCCATTACGGTACTGCCAAGGTTCAGCCTTTGCTTGTTCTCATGGCGCCTGATCGGTAGGCAACATATTGCCTGCAGTTCATGCGTGTACTGCGGGGTGGCCTACCCGGAGACGCGCAGGCGCTGAGCCCCCGCAACCCGCAATTTGCCGAATGATTCTGAGAAAAAGGGTCGTGCTTTATGTACGATCCCCAATCGAATCTGTGAGCTTCGTGTCTCCTAGCCCCCGGCGGCATGTATACTGTAAATCCAGGTTGTCCAGCAGGTGGTCGATAAAGTCGCCTAGCCCCCGAAACTGACTACCTGCTGGACACTTTTTGGTATCCCGGGCATTTGTGTGCGCACGATGGATGCAATGACTATGGGCTCAAACAATGCAATTACTCGGAAGTCCAGAAGGTGTGCAGAAGGTAGTCGACATAAGTCGCCTAGTTTGGGGGGCTAGGAGACTTTGTCGACTACCTGCTGGACATCTTGGATTTACAGTGGAGGTAATCCTTTCAGCTACGCTGGCCTAAATCGAAAAAAGATCGACCAATTTAATTACACCAAGAGGTTATTAATTTAATTGGAACTCATTATAAAATTGATAATCAGACAGACAGCAAAGAACGAGAACCATTAACGATGAACACTGAGCATCTTTTCTGTCTGTTGTGTTTTTATCCTTATTCGTCTCTTTTTTCCTCCTTCCGCGTGTGAGAACATCGTCGAAGTGTGCGCGGCCGGCCGTGAGGCGAGCGCAGGCAATCGATTCGTCAGATGCCTTTGCGATGTCGTCGTCTACTGTACACACACAAACTTATTCACTCCCCCCCCTCTCTCCCTTCCTCTCTCTCGCCCCGCCCCC